TTTCCCTTCCATTTGATTACTTTGGGCTTAATTTTCTTTTTCTAGTTTTCCAAATTGAAACCTTAGATCATTCATTTTATAGTTTTTCCTAATATGTGTTTAGTGATACAATTTTCTGTCTAAACCCTGCTCTTCCTGCATCCCATGAATTTTGATATGTTGCATTTTCATTTTCATTCATTTCAAAATATTTTATAATTTCCCTTGTGAATTTTCTTCTTGACCTATTGGTTATCTAGAATTATGTTGTTTAATTTCCACATACTTGGGGGTTTTCCAGATGTCTATTATTTATTTCTAATTTAACTTGTTGCGATCAAGTAACAAATTTTAATTCTTTAAAATTTTTGACACTTTTATATCCTACAATGTGCTCTATTTTTGTAAATGCTTTATCTGTACTTTAGAACAATGTATATAGTCTGATGATAGGTAAAGTATTTCATAATATCAGGTCGAGGTGATGAATAGTGTTGTTTGAATCTTCTATATCCTTACTAATTTTCTAATTGTTCAATCAATTATTGAGAGATAATTGTTGAACTCTCTAATTATAGTAGTTGATTTGTCTTTTTCTTTTTTCAATTTTAACAGGTTTTGCTTCAAGAACTTTGAAGCTCTGTTAATTAGGGTTATTATGCTCTCTGGATGAATCCACTTATTATTAATTTACTCTTTATCTTTCATAATATTCTTTGCTTTGAAATCTATGTAGTTGATATGAATAAAGACACTCCAAATTTCTTTCGATTTGCATTTGCAGGGCATATTATTGCCATCCTATCACTTTTAACCTATCTGTATCTTTATACTTAAAATAGGTTTCTTGGCTGGGTGCTGTGGCTCGTGCCTGTAATCCCAACATTTTGAGAGGCCAAGGCAGGAGGGTCACTTGACCCTAGGAGTTTGAGATCTGCCTGTGCAACATAGTGAGACCCTGTCTGTACAAAAATTTTTTTAAAAACTAGCCGGGTGTGCTGGTGTGCACTTGTGATCCTAGCTGCTTGAGAGGCCAAAGCAGGAAGATCACTTGAACCCAGGAGGTTGAGCCTGCAATGAGTGGCGATTGCAGCAGTGCATTCCAGTCTGGGCAGCAGAGTGAGACCCCATTTCAAAAACATAAAAATGTAGATAGATAAAATTTTGTAAACACGTGGTGTGGTTTTGCATTCCTATCAATCTTGACAATCTCTTCTTTTAATTGGAATGTTTGGACAACTTAAGGTGACAATTGATATGGGTTAATATACATTATTTTGCTATTTGTTTTGTTTGTCCATTTGGTCTTATGCCCTTTTTTCTCTTTTCCTACCTTTAAAGTGAGGTTTTTAAAATTCCATCTTTATCTCCTTTATTGGCTTGGTAGTTTTGTTCTTTTTTTAGTGGTTTAGGGATTATAGTATATTTCTTTAAATTGTCTCCTTCAAATGATACCACTTTATGTATAACATTAGAACTTTTCATTTTTCCCATGCCAGCCTTTTAGCTATTGTTATTATATATTTCACTTTTTAAATACGTTGTAAACCCCACAATCCAATTCTTGGATTGGATATCAAAAATATCCAGTTCTTGTTATTTTTGCTTTATAGTCAGTTATCTTTTAAAGATATTAAAAATGAGAAAAGTTTGTTTACTCACACATTTTCCATTCCAGTGTTCTTCATTCCAATGTATAAATTGGGGTTCAGCAAAGAGCCGAAAAATAAATCTTTTTAGCTTTGTAGGCCATATGATCTGTAGCAATTATTCAACTCTGCTGTTACCGCATGAAAACAGACAATAGGTAAATGAATGAGAGTAGCTGTATTACAATAAAACTATTTATAAAATCAAGTGGATTTGGTCCACAGGGCCAAAAAAATTTAATTTTTCTGTCACCCTTCCCCCGTTTTCTTGTAACTGCAGTTACGCGTGTGGTAGACTGTTCGATGTTGTTCTATTGCTCACTGATACATTTCTTACTCTCAGACTTTGCTGTGTCTCATTTGAGTTTGTTTCTACTGCTATGTCTCCAAGTGTACCAGTTGTCTTGTTCAGTTTCTAATTCAGTGTTTTTTTTGTTTTTGTTTTTTAAGACAGAGTCTCGCTCGGTCACCCAGGCTGGAGTGCAGTGGTGCACTTTCGGTTCACTGCAACCTCTGCCTCCCAAGTTCAAGCAATTCTTCCACCTCAGCCTCCCGAGTAGCTGAGATTACAGGCTTGTGCCACTACATCCAGCTAATTTTTTAAGTTCTAAAATAATGGATTATGCCTCCTTTTTCTCTGAAATCTATGTGTTTAAGATCTAGAGACAGGGTTTCACTGTGTTGGCTAGACTGGTCTCGAACTCCTGACCTCAGGTGATCTGCCCGCCTCTGCCTCCCAAAAGTGCTAGGAATACAGGAGTGAGCCATGGCACCTGGCCCAGTGTATTTTTCTTCTCTAGAGGTTTGACTTGGGTCTTTTTTATATCTTCCATTTTTTCCACATTATAGTCATGTTTTCCTTTTTATCTTCTTGAATAGAGTGCTCTTTAAACAACTGTTATAATATCCATGTCTTATGATTCTATCATATATATAACTTTTGAATTCTGTGTCATTTCTGAATCTGTTTATATTGATTTTTTTTTCTCCTGATTATAGGTCTTATACATTCTTTGTCTCTGGTATTTTTTATTGAATGCCAGACACTGTGAATTTTACATTGTCAGCTTAATTTCTTTCTAAATTATTATTATACTTAAGTTCTGGGATACATGCGCAGAATATGCAGGTTTGTTACACAGGGTATACACGTGCCATAGTGGTTTACTGCACCCATCAACCTGTCATCTACATTAGGTATTTGTCTTAATGCTATCCCTCCCCTTGCCCCCCACCCCCCAACAGGCCCCAATATGTGATGTTCCCCTCCCTGTGCCCATGTTCTTATCGTTCAACTCCCACTTATGAGTGAGAACATGCGGTGTTTGGCTTTCTCTTCCTGAGTTAGCTGAGAATGATGGTTTCCAGCTTCATCCTTGTCCCTGCAAAGGACATGAACTCATTCTTTTTTATGACTGCATAGTATTCCATGGTGTATATATGTGTTGGCTTAATTTCTTCCCTTTCTCCTTTTCTTCCTGTCTTTTCTTGGGGTGAGGAGATGCAGTTTAATTTCCCAACCTTTTTTTTTCTTTCAGTGTTCCTTTTAGGTTTATTAGGCTGGTCTGGAAAAGCCTGTGGTCTAGGTCTGGTTTGGTTTGGCTTTGCTATTTAGGCAGTACCTAATACCTTCTGAGATTATTGATGGACTTGATGTTGCATGTGTTAGGATGTCTTTCCGCTATGGCTGATGAGAACACAAACTGTTCTGTCCCAATGTAAGATCTAATGATTATTCTGCCTGCTCCTTTCTGGTAGTTTTTCCCTGGCCTTCGTAGTTTGCTCACATGCACAGGAGTCAGATGACTACTCAGTCCAAGACTCAAGGAGACCTCTCAGCAGATCCTCAGTTTCTTCTCTGTCTCTCTGCAGCTGCCTCCTCTCTGGTACTTTATATCCACAAATTCTAGACGCCTAGCCTTTCTGAATTCTGAACTTTGTTTTCTCAACTCAGTGAGACTACCTGGTTCAATCTGGATTCCTCCTCCTCATACTACAGCCTGAAAAGTCTTTTCAGGCAGTGAGCTAAAGCACTTACAGATTGCCTTCTCTCAGGGGTCACTGTCCTGGGATGCTTGTTCAATGTCTGAAAGCTGTTGTTTCATACATTTTGTCCAGTTTTCCAGTTGTGTAAGGCAAAAGAGTAAATATTCTTGTCGAAAAACACCATGACTGAAAGCAGAAATTTTGCTACTCTTAAATTCTTTGGTCATGTGTTCCTGCTTTTCATACCTTTTACTATCTGAGCTCACCTAAGACTTCCTGTAAAATCACATTATTTAATTAAATTATTCTTTTTCCTCTCTAGTAGACACTATAGTTTTATGATCAGAATTTCACTTTTTAGAATATGCTATCAAATCTTCCTTGAACATCTCTTCACAAAAGTGTGGAACATATACCACGCATTACTCTACTAGATGCTAAAAATGCAAAGATGAATTAAATAATGGATTATGCCTCCTTTTTCTCTGAATTTTTTGAAATCTATGCTTTTAAGATCTAGAACAATGCTATTCAAAACGTAGTCTACATACTGGTGCCAGTTTGAAGGGTTTGCAGCAGTGGACTACACTGTAAGGAATTTATTCCAGAGTATTCAAGCAGCTACATTGCTGAACACGTGCTTAGCTCACCTGAATTTTTTTTTTTAAGCAGGACTTTCTTGAAAGAAGCAATGTGTTGGTTTAGATGCCAGAAAAAGCACCTTCTTTCATTGTAGGCAGGTAATAAGCGGTTTATAGACTAGCTACGAGTACACATCTCAGAGTGCTTAGCATCGCCTTCCTTGGCTGTTAGGAAATCTCAAGCATTGCAGTTCCAGCCATTTTATTTAAAGGGTTATTTCTTCTTAATTAAAATGAATTACTTAGGCATTCATTTTATGGCTGATAACTGGTTTGGGGGACTTCTTAGCAACCACAGTCTACGATGGTTTTATTTTTATCCTGGCACAGACTTGGAATTGGAACAACTTTGGCAACAGAGAGAATGCCTGTGGGACACCATTCAGCTTAGTGCTGGAAGGAAATAGAAGCACTTATGGGCTCTTCTCTGGGATTATCTATTATATCCAATTTATTTTTATTACATTCCTAGAAATAAAGCATCCCTTCCTTGTTCATAAGTATATTTTCCCTCTCTCACCTTTATCCCGACAAGATTTATTTTATCTCAATTCATGATTCCCCATTTCCTTTCCATTTGTTGACTGGTTTCTAAGTCTCATCTTCTCTGATTAACCATTGGTAATTGTCGCGACCTAACAGAAAATGATTGTAATACCAATTAGTATAGAACTAGAATGGGGGAAAGAAGGCAGTAAGTATGAGAACCCCATGAAAAGATGTTTGTGTACTCTTTCTTTTCCAGTGGAAAGCTCACCAGAGATCCTAAAGAATGAAGATTTTTCTAGCAGCCGTGCTGTTACAGTGTACAAAGACAAGAGCCAAGAATCCATGGACCAGCTGTCTTTGATTTTGTCTTATGAGTGCCAGATTTCTCAGAAGCTCTACATTCCTCGAAGTACAGCCACTGCTGCCTTAGGTGCTGCCGCACGGTTAGCTACATCCAGGAGCCTCCTACACTGGTACCCCAGTGTGAAAAGGATGGAAGCATGAGGGAGGGAGGGAGGGAGAAAAACAGAATCCAGCCGCTTAGGCCTTGATGAACTCCCAGGCCAAAATGAGGAGGTATTGACGCAAAATTGTATCTTGATTGTTGATACTTTTGTCTTTCTGTGGCTATATGTTAGCTTTATTATGCTAACAGTCTACTTTGATGTGTAAGTATTGATATTTACTGTTGATCTTGATTTTTCTTGATTTTATTTTATTCTGTGTTGTTTTGTTCACCTTTGTTTTTAATGTAGTTTAAAGGAATTTGTTTTTTGTGTGTGTTTGTTTTTCTTGTACATTATCATGACTGATAAATGAAAATTGAAAAACTAATGTTTGTGATCCATATTTGGCAAGACAAAATAGTCTCACATTCCTGTCTCCAGAAAAAAAGGATGTTTGACTCTTAGGGCTGCTTTCTAACTTGAAGTCTTCTATATCATAGAGCATCATCATGTCTTTGAAATATTGGGATCAATAAGAAAATCTACACCCTGAAGCTTTGGTCATATGAATACTTTTACATTTCAAAAAAATTAAGCTGTTTGCAGTAAAGGCAGTTTCTGAAATGTAGCTGAGCCATCTCTATAATTATCACAGTTCCCAAGAGCCTTAATGTAGCAATCGTTCCACAGTGGCATTCTTTAAGTATTTATATAACATGTTCTCTGAGGTCAAATTCTGTGAAATGTGATGTGGTAGTCTGTTGAGCTCATAATATAAATCATCAAAAAAGACTGAAGGTAAAATTTTAAAATGTGAGTAATGATGGTTAATTTTTTTACCAGACTTATTCCCAAATTTTAAAAATATTTTACTCACAGAATTAACCCCCAAAACAGAATCATTTCTTAGAAGTAAAATCTGAGAAAGAGATGTAAATAGTGAGCTTGCTTCATGTAACAAGGTTCTCACCCACACAGCTGCTCTTCTAAGGCCTCCTTTTTTGGCATTAAATGACAGAGCTGGTCTCCTGGTTCCTCTCTCTTTTTCTACAATAAGGAATTTCTCCTCTTTCCTTCTCAACTACTTAATTAGCAAAGTATCCACTAAGGAAGGGGGTCGGAGGGGGGTAAATACAGAAATACATTCAGAGTATTATCGTGAGACAAACCAAAAGTCTTTACTGATCATTTTCTGTTTAAAAGCCTTAGGGAAAACATGTTTAAATGTAGTACAATTTAAAAGCTCAGATTCACCTCTGATTCCAATATATCTGTAAGAAAAATGTAAGGATACAGTAATTGACAAAAAAAGACAAAAGTAATCTGGAAACATCACTGATAGTTAATCCAACTGATGAAACAGTTTTGGGCTTTTGTGATTTTGTATCACACATCTTTATTGGAGAAGGCAGGTAGAGAGTTATATGGAGGGTCAGTGGACAGTTAAATATCATGTGATGGTTAAATATTATATATATGTGATGCTCAATTGGTATGAACTGGTGGAGCTGTTTTTCATATAATTTTAGATAATTAGACAAAATGTGTTTCAAAAGAAGAAAATTCATTGTGAAGTGCTGGCACTTTTGATTCTTCCTTTAAAGAAGCTGCCAAATCTGATACTATATTTTACTTTTCCAGGTGAACACTTCACTTAAACTGAGTTTGGGGCAAGATGAATCTGGTAGAAGCAATATGTCATAAGGGTTGATGGAAATACACATTTAGTAAGCTAAACTGTAACCCTCCCTATAATAGCACCCAGATACCAGAAGGAAGTCTGCCCAAACTGGGTAGTCTTTTTGCAAGTTTGATAGTTGGTTTCATAATCTGACAGGGACTAATTTTACACCTTGCAAACTGGATGGGGATTATGAAATAACTGTGCTAAGGCTGTTTCAGAATCTCATTTGCCTGTGGCTGGATAGAGAATCATTTAGACAAAACTATCTCAAACTTCTTTCAAATGAGTGTCAACACACTTTGAAAGAAACCTATTTAGTAATTAATAATTAATACCTCATTTCAGTTGGTGTGAAGAAAGAGCCTTTGAGAGGCTTGTACATGTTGACTACTTGGCTTTGACTAGGATAGCCACCCTGTCAATCTGTTTACTTATTATACCTTCTTCCAAAAAGGTGGGCTTTGTCTAGTAGTTAACTAAACTGTCAGCAAAGAATCAAAGTAGATACATCGTTTGAAAATGAGTAGATTTCTGTGTATGGGCAGGAACAGTGATAAAGAAATGTACAAAAGATATGTAGATGCTATGTGTTTTAGAGTTAATTTTATTGTGTTGTCAAAAGATGGACTGACATCTATACTCTGAACAGTTCCCTGCCCCACCCTCAACATTTTTGGCATTCAAGAGCTGTTTGCAGTAATGGAGGTCCCCAATGAATGTTGAATGGGAAGTGGGAGCCTGAGGTATGTGAAATGAAACGAGTGAGAACATAAAGGAAAATGCTGGTGCTAAATTCCTTAGGGATGGAAGAGGGACTGGCTTTACTAAAAACGACTCTGGTTTCACCTCCAGTGGCTTGTAGCCAATACTACCCATCTCCCATCCAGAAATACCCCAAAAGCCTGGGGTAGGGGGTGGCTCATGCCTGTAATCCTAGTACTTTGGGAGGCTTGGGTGGGTGGATCACTTAAGGCCAGGAGTTCAAGACCAGCCTGGCCAACATGTTGAAACCCTGTCTCTACTAAAAATACAAAAATTAGCTGGACTTGGTGGCATGTACCTGTTAGTCCCAACTACTCAGGAGGCTGAGGCATGAGAATCATTTGAACCCACGAGGCAGAGGTTGCAGTGAGCTGAGATTGCACCACTGCACTCCAGCCTGGACAACAGAGTGAAACTGTCTCCAAAAAAAAAAAAACCCACGAGATATCAAAAGAGGAGCTATTCCAGCAGCAAGCAGCCTTTCCCCTCTAAATTTCTTGTTTGAGATGTCAGTTGCCTGTTTCAAGGCATGGGGAGTAACTAGAGGCTTCTGCCCACAATCAGCCTATGTCTAACCTAGAGACTTAGAATTACAGAGTTTTGATCTAGAAGGGAACTTACATGAGGAAATTTGAAGTCTAGAAAGATTAACTTGACAGCAGCCAGGGGTGGCTGGCAAGATGGCTGAATAGGAACAGCTCTGGTCTGCAACTCCCAGCGAGATCAACACAGAAGGTGGGTGACTTATGCATTTCCAACTGAGGTACCAGGATCATCTCATTGAGACTGGTTAGACAGTGGATGCAGCTCACAGAGGGTGAGCCAAAGCAGGGGAGGGCATTGCCTCACCCAATAAATGCAAGGGGTTGGGGATCTCCCCACTAGCCAAGGGAAGCCATGAGGGACTGTGCCATGTGGAATGGTGCATTCCAGCCCAGGTACTACACTTTGCCAATGGTCTTCACAACCCACAGACCAGGAGATTCTCTTCAGTGCTTACACCACCAGGGCCCTGGGTTTCAAGCACAAAACTGGATGGCCATTTGGGCAGCCAGCCAGTTGCAGGAGTTTTTTCATACCTCAGTGGTGCCTGGAACACCAGCAAGACAGAACCGATCACTCCCCTGGAAACGAGGCTGAAGCCAGGGAGCCAAGTGGTCTAGCTCAGTGGATCCCACCCCCACGGAGCCCAGCAAACTGAGATTCACTGGCTTGAAATTATCACTGCCAGCACAGCAGTCTGAGCTTGAACTGGGATGCTTGAGCTTGGTGGGGGAGGGGCATCTGCCATTACTGAGGCTCAAGTAGGTGGTTTTCCCCTCACAGTGTAAACAAAGCCGCCAGGAAGTTAGAACTGGTTGGAGCCCACCACAGCTAGGCAAAGCTGCTGTAGCCAGACTGCCTCTCTAGATTCCTCCTCTCTGGGCAGGGCATCTCTGAAAGAAAGGCAGCAGCCCCAGTCAGGGGCTTATAGAGAGAACTCCCATCTCCCTGGCACAGAGCACCTGGAGGAAGGGGCAGCTGTGGGCACAGCTTCAGCAGACTTAAATGTTCCTGTCTGCCGGCTCTGAAGAGAGCAGCGGATCTCCCAGCATGGCGCTTGAGCTCTAAGGGACAGACTGCCTCCTTAGGTGGATCCCTGACCCCCATGCCTCGTGACTGGGAAACACCTCCCAGCAGGGGTCTACAGACACCCCATGTGGGAGAACTCTGGCTGGTATCTGGTGGGTGCCCCTCTGGGACGAAGCTTCCAGAGGAAGGAACAGGCAGCAATCTTTGCTCTTCTGCAGCCTCCACTGGTGATGCCCAGGCAAACAGGGTCTAGAGTGGACCTCCAGCAGACCTGCAGCAGAGGGGCCTGACTGTTAGAAAGAAGACTAACAAACAGAAAGGAATAGCATCAACATCAACAAAAAGGACATCCACACAAAAACCCCATCTGAAGGTCACCAACATCAAAGGCCAAAGGTAGATAAATCCACAAAGATGAGGAAAAACCAGCTCAAAATGGCTGAAAATTCCAAAAACCAGAACGCCTCTTCTCCTCCAAAGGATCACAACTCCTCTCCAGCAAGGGAACAAAACTGGACAGAGAATGAGTTTGATGAATTGACAGAAGTAGGCTTCAGAAGGTGGGTAATAACAAACTTCTCTGAACTAAAGGAGCATGTTCTAACCACATTCAAGGAAGCAAAGAACCTTGAAAAAAGGTTAAACAAATTGCTAACTAGAATAACCAGTTTAGAGAAGAACATAAATGACCTGATATAGCTGAAAAACACAGCATGAGAACTTCGTGAAGCATATACAAGTATCAACAGCCAAATTGATCAAGCAGAAGAAAGAATATCAGAGCTTGAAGATCAACTTAATGAAATAAAGCAAGAAGACAAGATGAGAGAAAAAAGAATGAAAAGGAATGAACAAAGCCTCCAAGAAATGTGGGACTATATGAAAAGACCAAACCTACATTTGATTGGTATACCTGAAAGTGACGGGGAGAATGGAACCAAGCTGGGAAACACTCTTCGGGATATTATCCAGGAGAACTTCCCCAACCTAACAAGACAGGCCAACATTCAAATCCAGGAAATGCAGAGAGCACCACAAAGATACTCCTCGAGAAGAGCAACCCCAAGACACATAATTGTCATATTCACCAAGGTTGAAATGAAGGAAAAAAGGGCAGCCAGAAAGAAAGGTCAAGTTACCCACAAAGGGAAGCCCATCAGACTATCAGCAGATCTCTCTGCAGAAACTGTACAAGCCAGAAGAGAGTGGGAGCCAACATTCAACATTCTTAAAGAAAAGAACTTTCAACCCAGAATTTCATATCCAGCCAAACTAAGCTTCATAAGCGAAGGAGAAATAAAATTCTTTACAGACAAGCAAATGCTGAGAGATTTTGTCACCACCTGCCTTAGTGCTCCTGAGGGAAACAC